AAATAGCTGACACCGGATCTAAGCATGCGGCCGATGTTGTATGAGTCTCGGTGACATCAACACCGGAGAGAAGAATTTGAAAGCAAGATACCAATTAAAGAAGACAACATTAAAGGAGCAGCCATTACAAAGAATCTTAGTATTTACACTCAATCGCTATGCGGCTATCAAGAGGGGTCTTTATTCACTTTACACTCTGTTTGGATCATTGTTCCCCATCGTTTTATAATGTATTGTATGGTATTGTATTGTATCGTTTTATAAAATACAATATTTGGATAGATTGTATTGTGTGTTATTGTTAAATAATATTTTGCTGTTTGGTTTGACTGTATCGTACTGTACTGTAACTGATAAGTTTACTAAAATGTCCTCAATTATTTTAATATTAAAATTTTCAAAATTATGCATAAAAATAATTTAAAAAACAAAACAGAAGAAGGCAAAACACCTTAAGAAAGTATAACAAAGGAGCAAGACAGAAGAAGGCAAAACAAAAGAGCACAACTAAATAGAATTGAGTTAAAAACAAATTAGGAGAAAAAAATAAAACTGAAGGCGGCAAAACACCTTTAACAATGGCGGTAGAAGTTCTGGAAACAAACAAAGCAGGTTATAGCTTGGAGATTTGGAGTTAAAATTGAAAAAAGGTAAAAGGTAAAATAGAACTGTGGAGTAATAAGTTAGGGCATAATTGGAAAGAAAAATAGAAAACAATCCCACCACACCAAATTGGTTGTTTTAAAAAAGGGGACTTTTCATTGTTCTGGAACAATGGATTTAACAATAAAATACAACCAATTTTAATGAAACAATCAAAACAAACATTGTTTTGCCATAACAATACAATACAATACAACGGGGAACAACCATCCAAACAAGCTGTTAAAGAGTAGCTTGATTTGGGGATTTTGTCTCCCCTAATTTAGCTATAAGGACATGAAATATTTGTAGGAAAAAAGGCTTATTCTACTCTCTTATTCTGTTAACACCATTTTGCTAAATACTTTGTTCTTGTTCTTGCTTTCGAAGAAGCTCAATTCAAAGTCATGCTTGTATTTTCTTCAAGTATTCTTAATTAATTTACTTATGCTCTTTGTTACTTTATATTTTTGAATCAATTTAATTCACATGTCTATAAACTACGTTACAAATTTAACTGTATCATTTTACAGGGAAACAGTTTGGCGCCCACCGTAGGCATAGACAATTGTGATGTTACTTTGATCCATTTATCTTTTACTAACATATTTTGACGCTTTTCTTTAGTAAAGCAAAAACAGATGTGGCACCTAATAATGTCAACAACTCACTCAATGTTGGGACAAATAACGAGCGTGAGGATAATTTCTGTGGTGGGGATCAACATAATGATTCGACCTGTGAAACCTGCACGCCGGAAATGAGACAACTCCAGTCCGGCAAGAACAGAATACTCGGCGTGCAAGGAGTCCTACCCCTGGTGATATGGATGATGAACCCGTCGCCGAATCGGTGAAAGTTCTGAGAGCATAGAAAAGGGAAATTTTGAATCATCTCTCAAGATAGGACTGGATAATGACTGAGCTCCAGCAAGCACTATCGGTTGCCTCGAATAATTCCACTAGAGGAGTTCGAGCCCCTCCTAGCGTGCCAGCAAATCAGATATTGTCCTTATTGAATTGCCCAAAGACGATATATTTAATCATGATTTGGCAGATGCACAGAGTTAGAAAGATGATAGTGATTATGACAACAGTGCTGATGGGTCTGGAGATGATACACCCTTCCTTGATGAGGGCGACGATGATGAGGACACGTGCTTTACTGATGAGAATGAGAATGAGCAACCTGACTTGACGAGGGAGCATGATGTCACAAATGAGCATGCTCCATATATGCAGACTCCACCTACCGTTAGACCTAGAGTGTACGAGTCCCATGTGCCCTTTCATTCAAAGGAGATTCCCTACCTTGATCAGTTGCCCAGTATGCGGATGTGGATGCCTTCACAAGGGATCTTGATGATATTCGTACAACAATGTGGGATGAATCTAGACCAACAGAGCTTTCAAGGAATATGATTTTTGCTGATAAAGCGTGCCTTAGCAGGGCGGTGTGAATTTACAGCATAAAACACTATCGTGAGATCGAGGTTCATGGGTCATCTACACAAGTTTATAAGGTTATTTGTCATAGATGGTTTCAAGGTTATAAGTGGATGTTGCGTGCGAGAAAGTTGAAAAAAATATGTGGATGGTGGGGAAATACATTGGCAACCACACATGTGATATGACACATTCAATGAGAATCATTTTAACTTGAGTGTTGACTTGATTTCCCTTGTCTTGATTCCACACATTGAATCGTTCATAATGTGCAAGATTAAAGAGTGTATAACATCTGTCCACCAGGTATATGGATGTACCATTACCAAAAGAAATGGCATTTCTCGGACGTAAACGTGCGTTTGAGGTTGTTTATGGTAATTAGGATAAGTCATTTGCCGTTCTACCTAGGTACATGGCTGCTTTGCAACACTTTAACCCCGGGACTGTTGTTGAATAGAAGCTTGAGCTTCGATAATGTTATCACATGCAGAAGCGGAATAAGACCAGTGGTGTCTCTCATGGTGCCCATGAACACCCTGCACAGCTGCCTATAAAGGCAGGCTAGAACAGCTCCATCCCAGCTATACGTAGGTAGCTCATCTAGCTGCTCTAAATGATGCAAAACTCGCAAGCTAATAAGGTTTCTCGAAGTATTCAGGAAAAGAATACCACCAAATATCATCAATAGCAATAACCTCGTCTGCCGCTCTATAGCCTCTACCAGTGAGTCATACGTGATCTCCGCGTGCAACGCCTCCAGATGCTACCTAAAGGGCGACAACTGCAATCGACTAGCAACACTCATAGCAGTCGGCTCCGTAGGCTAGAAATCGGTGAGCCTCTGCAACATATGTAGATAGTCGTCTCTCGTATAATCCCTAAGAGCCCGCGGGTAGCTGATAGCCATACCATCAACGGGCAACCCGAATTGAACCTCCACGTCCTGTAGCGTGATGGTAGCCTCACCAATAGGTAGATGAAATGTGTGAGTCTCCGGTCTCCACCACTCTATCATAGCCGTGATCAGGGGTCAGTCGAACTGTAACCGACCGATCTCTATAATCTGGTAAAACCTCGTTCGCTGAAGACATGTAACTGTACGGGGATGAAGTGGGTGGTCCCTAATGAACTTTCAAAGATCGTCTATACGTCTAGGGTGGAAGGTCTGGGACAGCAACTGTCCATCCCATGTGTGTGAAGACCTATGACCATCCTCGAACAACAGTAGCTCTAGAACAGCAGGTCCAAGATGCACTGGCGGAGGATCCATGACGATGTCTGTAAATTGAATAATATTAATTAAAGTATTTTTCTCTTTAATCGTTTAACATCTTTAAATATATTGCGATATTTTTTATATTAATATTTAATCGATAAATTTTTTATATTATTACTTAGGTTGATAAATAAAATATTTATTTATATGTTAGTTTCTTAGATTATTCGACTAAAATTCGGCAGGGTTTTGTTTGAACTGTCAACTTTTTTTTCCAGATTTTTTCGGGTTATAAGAAAATTTTTATATTTATTTTCTAAACTAATCTCGATATTTTTAATAATTATTCATATAAAAGATATTACTAAATTTTTTTGCGTTCATAACGATTTATGTCTTAATTTAATACTATTAAACAAACAAAAACAACACAATCTCTTTTACGTACTGTCAATTTTTTAACAATCTTATTCCTAATTAAAATAATACTAAATACTTAATTTGTTTTACTATTTGATATTATTTTTAAAACTGTACTATTAAGTATTTATTTCATTCATAACGATTTGTATGTTAATATTTATTTTTACACAAAAATCCGACAGCGTCTCTTTTGTACTGCCAACTAATTATTTTATGATTCATTTCTAATTTTTTATTGTTATCTAATAAAACATTTACTATACACTTAATAATTGATTAAAATTTGATCCATAATTGAATACTCTAACCGGGTTAGTTAGTGAGGACACATTATTTTTAATCTACACTAAAGAATACTAAAGGCACACTATTCTAAATGGCCATAAATAACATCAACTAACATAAATTAGAATTTATTATTAGTTACACTACACTAACGGGCACTACATAACACTAAAAGGCACTAAATAACACTAAAGTCACATATTATTCACAGTAAACATATAATAATATGTACAACTATAAAAACAGTAAACATATAACACTAATTATTCAACAAAGGAACAATATACAATTTTCATAATATTTTGCACATAAATAAACTAATCCGGGTAAAAAACGAAAAAAATAAAATTTCACAAAACAATCACAAAAGCATACAATACAGTAGTAACAACTAATTACTCAATTATATACATGACTTATACTAAAAAGGTGATTCAGAATACCTCTTTTTCGATTTTTTTGAATGGAAAGAATGAAGATTTGCTCACCAAATTGGGCAATAAAAAAGTTTCACTACACGACAACGCCTTGAATTGAGTGTTAGATCACTAAAACAATCACGGGACAAGATTTCGGGGGAGGGGTGGACTCGAATGGAGTTTTTAGCTTTTAAAAATAGGGGGACCCTTTTTTGGAGTCCTGTCGTTAAGAAGGAGGCTGGCCTATTTTAAATAGGTGTAGCGCATATATTAGATGCGCTATGCCTATCTGTCTTTTCACATTCAGGTATAGTGCATCTAATATATGCGCTATACCAAAACTTTGACCGCCTTTTGAGCGCATGAAAACTATACTTTCACGGACAAACGTGTCGTTAAGATATAGCACATGAATTTCGTGCGCTATATATAAAAAGGTTACCAAATATTTTTTTTTAACCTATTTTGGTGCTTTGAGTCCAAAAAGCCTAACATATTGGTTCCCTACTCGGACGTAAACGAACCATGAAAATATTGGAAATGAGAGAGTACTACTATTATGATTTACGTGACTCTTTATATTCTCCACCTCCCCTGAAAACCAGAGGTGTCAAAAGGGAAGAAAACTGGTGCTTTTCATCCATACCCATCTCTCTCTCTATTTCTAAACCCAAGAAGCCTTCTCTCTTTGCGATCTGTAAAACCTCAATTGAAATTAAGGAACAGAGGGAGACCCTATAAGGAGTCTCTCTTTGTTCCGAAAATGGCTGAAGTGAGGGGTCACAAGAAGAAGAAAATATCGATCGATCTTTCCGTTTTTGCCCTCACTGATAACAACACTAACTCGTCCAAATCTTCTCCTAACAAGTTTGAAGACCCAAATGGTAATGGTGTTGGGCTTGGAATTGTTGCAGCCATGTCCAATAATAATCACAATAGTAATAATAATAAAACTGCAATTCTGGCTATTTCCCCTAGATTAACTTCAAACCCAATCCCAATTTTGGCTAATAATTGTATTCCTAAGAAGAATAAGGAGGAAATGGAGATGTGTGAAGAGTACACTTGTGTGATTTCTCATAAGGGTAACAATTTGGTTAAGAAAAGGGAATACTTTGATGACCAATTCATAGGGAATGGCTATCGGAAAAAAGCAACTGCTGCCACTGCCGCCTCTGCTCCGCATGAAGCTTTTAGGACAGCGGATTTTCTCAGTACTTGCTCTTTTTGTCAGAAGCAGCTTCAGGGGTTGGACATTTTCATTTACAGGTTCACTTTCCAACTCTTCATTTTGCTTTTGAGCTTTTATTGAGTTTGGTCATACAATTTGTGCTGCTTTTCTTGAATCTATGATTCAAAGGCTTTAACTGTGGATTAAATTGAGAATTGTGTTAACAAGCTCTATATTCAAGTCAACCTTAGAGTATATAATAACTTTTATTTCCTTTTCGATCGTTTCAATTGTAATGGAAATTCATTTGATAACTTTTTTTATCGATGAATATGATAGCTAGACCACGGGGAAGTAGTTTGCTTAACCCAACCGGAGTATCCTCAAGTCCTATCAGTAATGATGTTGATGTTATTTGGCTTTTTACCTTATGTGGATAGTATTTTTATTTGCTTTCAAAATGTAATTCATATTTCCTTTGGTGTCAAAATGCAGTTAAAATAATATCTGAATGATCTTGTATTGGTGTATTGGTGGTCGAGAATTATGGTCTGAGACTGATCATTCAATTCATATTGCTGAAGCTTAAAACATAACTGTTTCTTCGAATGTGGCCTCTCTACCTTTATATTCGTTGGCTAAGTTCTGGGTTAGAATCATGATTATCCTATGCTATTTACTCTTTTTTTTTAAATCTACTTATCATGAAGCATATACTGCAAAGGGGAACATGTTGATGCAATCCATCAGTTCTTTAAGCTGCGATCGAGCATCCACATGAATCTGATCGGATATTTGTGGATGTCCAAGTTTTCCATCTGCTCGGTATTGGTTGAGGAAACTGTTATGCCCTTTTAGGTTTAGAGAGTTTAAAACAGAGATGTTCTAAGGGGTCGTTTGGTTGGAGTACGGGAATAACTAATCCTAGCAAAAAAACTCGCATAAGATAGTACATTATTTGGTTGGGCGTAGGAATAATTAATCTCAGTATAAAAATTGTCATTAGATAACACAATGTTTTGTTGGCGTACTAAATAATATCTCCACTAAAATATGTGGGAATCTATTTCTTATTTAATACAGGATAAAATGTGGAATTAAAAAACGTGTATTAGCAATGCAGAAATTAGACTATTTAAAGGCAGAAATGCCTTTTTTGAATAATTAATGCATATATAACAATCTCATCATTAGTAATCACAGCATAACAATACCTTTGCTATCAATCACCCATAAAATCGCTCATTATTAATCACCACATACACAATTGCTGCATTACTAATCCCTGCATAACTTACTTTTAAACCAGATGACCCCTAACTTTGTCAGGTAGTAAATGTTCTATCTTTGTTTTATTGCAAACCTATCGATACTTTTATAGGCTTGAACATTAAGATTGTTCCTATACAAGGGGAGCCATTGGAGGGCTCAGGTTGTTGTCAGAGATTGCTTGGCAAGTTAAATTATCTTAAGATCACAAAATTTGACATTTTGCTTACTGTCAATTTGGGAAGACAGTTTCTCCAAACCTCGGCATAATACTCATTTGAATGTAGTGACTCACATTCTAAGGTATATCAAAGGTTCATATGGACAAGGTTTATTGTATGAAGATAGAAGACATGCAAGAATTTTTGGGTATCTTGATGTAGACTGGTGAGATCATCTTCAGATGTTCACTCCACGGCATTGTGTTCTAATTGGAGGAAATCTGATATCATAGAATAGCAAAAGGCATGGTGTAGTAATTAGACCAACTACAAATACAGTATACCAAACGATGAGTTTGGCTACACATGAGCTTATATTGGCTAAAGCGAATTATCCTAGAGTTGAGGTGTGGGGAGATGCACAATGAAATTGATATGTTACAATCAAGCTGCAATACACATTGCTTTGAATCAATGCTTCACGAAAGAATACAACATATAGAAATAGATTGTCATTTTATTCAACTAAAGACTGAATTGGGGTGCCTTGTGACATCAGTTAGTAGATGTTCTTACAAAATCACTTGTTACTCTAGAGTTGAGTATATGGCACGACCCCCTCCCCTAGTAGGAATATGATAGGCACTCGGAGGTTCTAAGCCAGCCTGACCGAACCATTCATAAATCCTCTCACACTTAATTCAAACTTATCATGACTACCTGAATTCTTGGTTTACTAATGTTGGGTTCACATTTTATGTTGTCCAAGTTCCAGATGTCCAGTCTCTTACGTGCTGGCGGTTTAAGTATTCCACACTAGTTGAGGGAATGAGATGCTGTCTTCTTATATGATATTTGGCAATCCTCACCTAGTGACCACACTTTTTTGGCTTGAGTTATCCCATGTTCCATTTTCTTTACATAGAAGATGGCAGGGAAATATTATATGCATGATATAAACATTTCAACTGAAGAACATAGGCAAGAAAACAATATCAAAACTTGAGGTGATTTTGGAGAACTTGGAAGTTTTAATGCATACATAGAACCTTCGTAGGCACGACTTTATATTGTAGGATTATCTTTAACAATGTTTTATTGCCAATTGCAACTTTAAGGTGATCCAAATATCATTAGCGTGCATATTGGATGCAAATGAAGATATCTTTCTATTACGGGGATATTCTTGGTGCCTACCTGTTTGCCAGAACACCAGTGCTGAAGATCTTAGATGCTATTACCTATATTTGTACATCTGTGACAGTTAAGGTTGATAGAGATTTCTGAGCTTCTACTCATAGCTTCTTTTGAGCCGTTTTGTCTATGTTATTAATTTGATTCATAATCTTGGCCATATAGGGTGCAGTCACCTAGGAGCTTTAACTAATAGTTATTCCTCCTTTGCATTCTGGTTCTTACATTATTTTATATTCTTGTTTTTATATAATTATCATCAGTCTTGGGCCATTGGTATCTTGGTCCAAGTTGAAAATAATTCTGGACATATGCTTCTCATATTTTACTAGTTTATACGTGTATATCCTGAAGAAGGGCAATAAATTCTTTGACAAGATTTAAATTAAAAATTGTGCTTAATTTACACGGTTATTTCTCTCTGATTGTCAGTCACTGAGAATCTACTCAAGTAAATTGTTGATGTTGTGCTTGTATCACTTTGTTATCTTCATAGCTCAAACTAAGCAAGTGCTTCGGAGCTTTTAATATAAACATGATTTTATTTTGGCGCCTTTTATTTTTAATTTGCTTTCTTGGAAACATTTGCAGAGTTATTACCTAATTCTCTGTGGTAAATCTTAATTCTGTGTTTTGAGACCCATGAAGGTTGTATTCCCTTATTTTAGAACTCATCTAAATTCTAAATTCTAAATTGCTCGGACTCTTCACTTTAGGTGCCGCACCCGCATCGATACGACGTGGGTGTGGGACCCCTATTGGATCTAGTCAACCGATTTTGGGTACTTTGACCAAAATCGGCGAAGAAATTTGGGACAAGTACAATAATTTTTTAAATCAACACAAAAGCTAGGCACCCAAGGGTGTGGTCTAGTGGTCAATGAAGTGGGTTGAGAACATGAGGTTTCAGGTTCAAATACCAGCGGAGTAAACACGGTGATTTCTTTCCATCTGTCCAATAGACAGAGTTTCATGGTACCTGGTGCTGGTGGGAGGTAGTAGGTATCCGTGGGGCGCGGAATTAGTCGAGGTGCGTGCAAGCTGCCCCAGACACCATGGTTATTGTAAAAAAAAAAAAATACTAGGGTAAAATTGAAGAAAATGGAAACCTTGTATATAGAAATTTCTATGTCAGTCCTTTTCCTTTTATCTCATTCTCGGATTATCCTCTTGATCAACATTTTCTCCTTCTCGGAATACCTTGTAAATTTTTCACATAATGTCTCATAATGTAGACATATTTTTATAACTCTATTTTTAGATATTTGAATTAATTTTAGCCAAATTTTCGCACCCTTATCCATACGTGGACTGTGACTGTACCCCTGAATAGGATCCGACCTCTAGATCAGCACCCTTATTGGACACCCGTACCCGAGCAACTTAACTAAAATTTAGCCTTTGTGTGGCTTGTGGCAGATGCTGATATTGCGTTTGTTATGAGGGTGGTGATATTTTTAATTTCTTTTTTGCTTTCTGCATTTGTCAATTAATATCTCCTAGTTATGTGCTGTTTAATTCCAAACATTCTTAGACTCTTTTTATCTTCTTGCTGCGCTATTGAGTTGTCCTAGCTGGAAATAGTTCAGGTGGCTTTATTTGTCAATGTAATATTGAAGCTTAAGGGGCTTTAGGTAGGAAAGCACCACATGGTTTTCACTTGTTCATTAGATTTCGGTTGTTTCCTCCAGGTACTGCAATATATCTTGTTTGTTTATGCATGGTGGTGTGTATTTTCTATTTGGTGAATATTACATATGGAGTAAGGAAAGATAAATCTTATGTTGTTCCTGTCTTGTCAAGCTTGAGGAATGCTTTCTGAGATCACCTCTTTTGTTATGTAATGCTAATTAATGCAGAGGAGAGAAGGCATTTTGTAGCTCAGAGTGCCGTTGCAAGCAAATCTCAATCGATGAGCAGAAAGACAAGTGTGGTTCTGGAGCCATGAAATCGCCCGAGTACTCTGCCTCCCCTTGCTCTGGTCCAATGCAGTTTTCCACTGGTGTTGCTGTGGCATAAGTCTTGTATGGTACGCAAATCAAACTAATAAATAAGGAAACGGTTTTGGAAAGCTAACCCAATAAGATTTTGTCATAAGAAGATTTATGTTCAGTTTTGAGCAGGCAATCTCTCTGTATGGAATGTTGTTCAGCCTGCCCCTATTGAGAGGAAGGAAGAGGGCTTCTTATTTTTCTTAAACCCATAGACAAATTCATCTATAAAAATTAATCATTATTCGTTCTTTCCTTGCAAGTCCTAATATCAACCTACTGATGATATGTTCCGTTTCACTGGTCTTTCGCATCTGCATAACTTGATCGATTTCGTCCTTATAAATATTCATAGTTTGTACCTGCAACAACTAGGTCATTCATTTTGTCCACTGATAATTAAACATCCCTTCTGTTGAAGGAGACAAATAGAGAGAACAATGGCTTCCGAGCAAAAGTGCAGTGGTAGATTATTTAGGAAAAGATATCCTCGTATCTTATTCTTAATCCATTTAAAGATTCAAATATGATGAGACTTTAACATCATGCTTAATCGAACAAGAAGTTGAATGCAGTGAAACAAAAGTAAATATTCATTAGGCACTACCTTATCATGCAGTCCGTACCATATCAAGCTGGATATAAAGATGTGATTTATGTGAAAACATTCCAATCAAGGCGTACTTATGTTTGCCAAGGTATCAAACTCCAAAAGTTTCCCATTGCAATACTGCTTCATCATGGATATACGTAATAAGAATGTATTACAAGTGGACAGATTTTGTTAAAGAATTAGAAGGCATAATAATGTTCAGTTGGTGAGATTCT